GAAACCATGAATTGCTCTAGCTGTGTTGTGTATTTAGCGATTGATCATTTGTAAAGCTGTGACACTGTGTAAGGCTTGTAAGGTACTTCGCAAGCGGAGTAGCTTCATCTCGTCCCTGCAGTGAGCATCAGACTCTTGCTATCCAACAAACGCCAGGATCCACATGTCTATGGCTGTAACTTCAACCATGAAGACACAACCACATTGCCCAAGTTTATGCTTATCAGTGATCGTTTTCAAATACTTTTTGTTTGTCCACACACCTTTCCCGATTGTCGTCATACAGGAAAATAAAATTAGAATGGCTTGTAGTGTGGCAGCACCAAGCCGGGAAGATATCAATTACTCTGCACTCTTCGTCTGTGTTGTCTAGCGGCGTGCACTGGTCAGGCTGCCAGGCCCCAGGCCCACTCAGTGGAGCTCAAACCCGCTGAGTGTGCTCATGAGTGTTCGCCAGACATCAGCAAAGGCACAGTGTTCAATAAGTTGAAGGAGCAAGGCAGAGGTGAGAAGAAGGGTATACAAATAACTGTATATGTATTGTAAGAATTCATTGGACTTCATCTTCCTCATCTGTCAATAACCATCATCAGTCTTCGTTTCGTTTCTCTTCATCATCGGCGTCATCTTGCTGTTGCTTGAATAAAGCGTCAGCTGAACCGTGGTATTTCAAGTGGTGGAAGGTGCTTCCCGATCTCTTCGACCTCTCTCCATCCAAAGCCAGTTCCCGGAGCTCCGTTCGGGACGTCGCTTACGTCAGCAGAGCACCATGGCGCAAGAGCAAGCCCAACTGAAGCACTCGCCGCCAACCCTAGCTCGGTCATTTACCCCCCTCGGGAGCCTCCAATCTTCTCCGGTCTGCCTGCGAAGATGTCGAAGACTGGCTCGACAACTATGACCGCATAGGTGTCTACAACAACTTGAACGAGGCATCGAAATCAGCACGCGTTCAGTTTTACGTGTATCAGGTTGCCATCACATGGTTCCTAAATCATGAGAGTGACTTTCGCGATTGGTCTTCGTTCAAAGAGCAGCCCTGACGTATTTTCGGCACACCAACCATCCGTTCAGAAGTTGCTCGGAAGGAACTGGCAGAACGCGTTCAACATTGCGCTGAGTCCTACACTTCTTATATTGAGGGTGTCCTTGCACTTTGCCGCCGTATCGACGACACCATGCCAGAAGCTGATCGTGTCCGGCACCTTCTGAAGGGTATCGGACCTACCGCTTTCAACGCCCTCACCGCGCACAACCCTTTGACGGTTTCCGACGTCGTCTCTGTAGGCCAGTGGCTTGATACCTTGCAGTCAATCCGCCTGCGACCAGACTTTTCCGAGAACTCCCTGGCAAACAGTATGGAGCTCCGATCCATCATTCCGAGCCATAACTCGTGAGCAATTGAGAGCCTACAGTGTACCTACTTCTAACAACGTTCCCGCTCAACCCGTCTTTAGCGATCTGCGTGGCATTATTAGGGAAGAAATGTCAGCGTTTCAAAGCACCCACCATGCTCTACCTTGCCCCCAACCCGCTTCCTATGCACAGGTCGCTTCAATGCAACCCTTGCCGTTTCAAGTACAACCCCTGTGCCTGATCACGAACATCTCGCACCTCTAGTCGCCATTCCACCGAACCCTACCTACCAGTCTTCCTGGCGGGCCCCACGGCCTATTTGCTACTACTGTGGAATTCGAGGACACATTTCCCGGTTCTGTCGACGTCGGCAGCAAGACAAACGTCGTGGTTGTGCCGCTTTTGAATGTTACGACACATGTGCTCGAGGTTACTACCGTTATGCCGACAGTCCTTCCAACCACCGATCCCCGTCTCCTGTGCGCATTTCCAACATGACCAAAAATACACGTGCCTCCCGACCACGCTCCCCTTCGCCACTCCGACGCTCTGTTTCACCACTTCGGCCTGTTTCTCAACTGGCTGCCCAGCGATCAGAAAACTGAACAGGGCAGTTTTTGGAGGGAAAACTGCATCGCAACGAAATGACCCAAGTCCTCCTAAACGACCATCAAACATGTTATCGGTGACTGTGCAAGGTGTGCGGGTGTTGGCTTTGGTGGACACGGGAGCAACTATTTCAGTTATGCGTGCCGACGTGTGTTCTCGATTGCGGAAAGTGAAGACACCCTACCTTGGATCATCTTTGATTAGGGCCAATGGAGCAATAACTAGACCATCGGCCCAATGTACAGCGCGTCTTCATTGATGGTATTTGTCATCACATCACCTTCGCTGTCTTAATTTCATGTGCTCATGAACTAATTTTAGGTTCGGACTTACTCTCATCAGCATCTGCATTAATTTCTTGCCGTCAATGTGTAGTCGAGATGACCGACACCGATCACAGTAGTGAACGGGTCGACGAGAAACCATTGCGTTTTTTCACAGCTTCCGATTCCATACTGCTCCCGGCTCAGGAGCAACTCATCACCATCACTTCTCCAAATATTGCCAATGGTGACATCCTTATCACCCCTTCCAGCCACTGTCTAGCTCGCGGCGTTGTAGTCCCCTCCAGCCTGGTGCAGTTCAAAGACAGTGCTGCGATAATCCTTGGCCTGAACCCTACCCTAGAGCCTGTCCTCCTACCCCAGGGTTCTGCAGTGTCGTGTTATGTGGATGCCCAACCGGTATCTTTGGTCTCTCTTGACGCCTTGACAGCTCAGCCACAACAGGGCCAGTCTGTTACTTCCCCCCCCTTTGCTCCCGGGATAAATCCTGACCTTTCTGCTTCTCAACATGAGGCATTGCTAAATTTGCTAACGAAACACCAGGCCTCCTTCGACGCCAATGCTTCGGCACTAGGACAGACCACAGTTGCCCATCATCGCATCGACACTGATGATCAGACTGTTGTACGCCGTTGTCCCTACCGAGTATCCTCGGCCGAGCGCAAAATCATCGAAGAGAACGTGACCGATATGCTAAAAAGAAACATCATACGACCCTCTACCAGTTCTTGGTCATCACCCATTGTGTTGGTACAAAAAAAGGATGGATCGGTACGATTTTGTGTTGGTTACCGCGCGCTCAACAAGATTACCCAAAAGGATGGTTATCTGATGCCCCATATGATGATGCACTTGACTCATTGCAAGGTGCCCAATACTTCTCCACTCTTGACCTTTGGTCTGGATATTGGCAAATACCAATGGACGCAGCAGACAAGGAATAGACCGCCTTTTCTATGCCGAACGGTCTTTACGAGTTTAACGTAATGCCATTCGGCCTATGTAATGCTCCCGCCACATTTGAAAGGATGATCGACACTGTTCTTCGTGGCCTCAAGTGGAAAACTTGTCTATGCAACCTCGATGATATCGTCGTGTTTTCTTCCACTTTTGCTCATCATTTGCAACGCCTAGATCAAGTGCTCACATGTCTCTCCAATGCTGGACTTCAACTAAGCACAAAAAAGTGCCATTTCGGCAACACAGCTATAAAAGTTCTGGGACATCTCGTTAGTAAAGATGGCATCCAGCCCGATCTGGACAAAATTCCGCAGTCCTCAACTTTCCGCGACCCTTTTGTTCCAAAGAACTACGCAGTTTCCTTGGACTCGCATTGTACTTTCACCGCTTCATTCGCAACTTTGCCACTATTGCCGCTCCTCTCCATAAGCTCATTGCTAGTACCGGTTCCTTCGATTGGAATGATCAACGCGAAGCCTTATTTCAAGAACTCAAGCATGCACTGACATCCCCACCGGTGCTTTGTTATTTTGATGACAAGGCACCTACGTTATTACACACTGATGCTAGTGGACAACCACTTCCTTGTTCAGCAGAGCCGTTCTCTGTCGTCGGAATTGACCTCTTCGGGCCCCTTCCAACTACATCAGACGGTAAGAGATGGATTGTCACCGCGGTTGATCACTTGACCCGGTACGCTGAGACTGCCTCGACCACTTCAGGAACTGCTTCCGAAGTAGCAACTTTCTTCTTGAATGCTATTTACCCAAGTCACAGAGCCCCTCGTGTTTTTTTGAGTGACCGGGGCAAGGCATTTCTTTCAAGCACGCTCAGTGAAGTTCTTCAAGCATCAAAAACAGTTAATAAAACAACATCTAGCTATCACCCACAAACTAATGGCTTAACGGAAAGATTTCATTGCACGCTGTGTGACATGCTGTCCATGTATATCCGACCGGACCATCGCAATTCGGATGCCATACTTTTCTTTGTCACGTATGCATATAATACGTCAGTTCAACGAACCACAGGCTATTCTCCATTTTTCCTAGTATACGGACGCCAACCAACATCACCACTGGACGTTTCATTCTTTTCTGGCCCCGTCAACTCTTCACCATTCGTTTGTGACCAGTTTCTGTCCCGTGTTGCTCAATGCCGTCGTCTTGCCCGTGTAAACACCGAAGCTAGCCAAGAAGATCGCAAACATCGTTACGATGCCACTCACCACGTTGTTCTCTACCGCCCTGGTGACGAAGTACTTCTGTGGACTCCTGCGCTCATGCCTGGCTTATGCGAGAAGCTTGAGTCACGCTATCTTGGCCCCAACAAAGTTGTTGAACAGACCTCACCGGTGAACTACCGTGTCACACCTGTTCATGCCCCCACTGACCAACGCTACCGCGGGACAGAGATTGTGCACGTTTCCCGTCTCAAGCCCTATCGTACGCGTTCCACAGCGCAATTTGCGGCCAGGCTGGCCGCTTCCGTCGACGAGGGAAATTAGTGTAAGAATTCATTGGACTTCATCTTCCTCATCTGCCAATAACCATCATCAGTATTCATTTCGTTTCTCTTCATCATCCGTGCCATCTTGCTGTTGCTTGAATAAAGTGTCAGCTGAACCATGGTATTTCAGTATAGGTACTTTAGCTGCCTTAGTACATAGCGCATTGCTTAATTTGTGGCGTGAATGATTTTTTTTTGTTGCTGTAGCCTAAATACTGACACAGTTTCAAAGAAGTCTTTTAGGATTCCTTTAACAAAAATGCACATGTGAGAGAATCCACTGACCTTCGTCCTGGCTTTGAGCCTCTCGACGGCCTCTGCGCTGGCTGGGCTCTTTGGTATCCGACTTTTTCTCTCTTGGCACCACGCAATGTGTCGGTCAGCAGCACGATCACTGAAGTTGCGGTTGCAACTAGGGCACTCCACATATCCTGTGGAAGGAAAGAAACAGGCCATGACTTACTAACATGCAGTGAGCCATCAGTTATCGCTGGTGTGCCTTTTTTGTAACAAAGCACTATATTTGCCTGAAATGCACCAAAATGTCACCTACCCCAATGAAAGGTGTGCTGGAGGGCTAGTCCCAGGGCTCATTTGAGTACTCCAAAAGTAGCACTTTGCAGACTTAGCATGTGATATTCACGTTGCAGTGAGAAAGAGAAATACGAGCTTTGACCATTTTTGCTGTGCATACGAATGTACTGGCGGATGAAGCGTACATTCCGGCCCAGTAGAAACATTGCCGTAGCCGAGTATATGTTTTCAGCACACCAGCATGACTGTTATGAGGAGCAGCATGAAAATATTCACATAATTCAGAACGCATGTGCCAGGGAATCACGAGTAGCCGCTTGCGAACATCGAACAAATAGTTTCACCAGTATAGGACGCTGTCACGCACAGTAATGTTAGCGGACTAGCAACGAAGTGGGCGAGAAGAGGCTGTGGTGGATGTATTTTCAAGGAAAATCAGCAGAGCAGAAAAGGTGGGATCCTTACGCTGCTCGAATGGCATGTTGGCTACGTCGATAGGTGGCAGAGATGCTAAAGACATTGACATTTTTCAAGAGCTACCCCTCTCCTTCCCCCCTTTCACCTTTTTTTTTCACTGTCCTGGCCCTTGTTGGAATAAAATTCTTAAAGTGAGTTTGGGACCCCTGCACTAAGCTATTGCCGTGGCTTGGCAAAACTTCACAAATTGTGCAAGGTGACCAGACAAAAATACCCCAAAGAGGGCAACGAACTTGCCTGCAGGCACTGCTGGCCGGCTGCCATTTGAAGCAGTGTCGGTTGACGGCCCAACGTCTTCACCACGTGCGGCACGAATCGTACGGATGAGCTCCTCATGCTTCTCCTTCCAGTTAGTTCTGGCTTTTGGCTTTGGCTGTGGGGGACAAATAGTTTTCCTACAATCAAACTGCAGCCTGATAGGCCGTAGGTGCGAAGCAGTAGAAGATTAAACAGGAAGTAGATATTTCTTGTAAAAAATTTTGTTGCTCAGAGACCTGCAAAAATAACAGCACTGAAAAAGGTGTTCGGTTGCTGATTTTATTGCTACCATTTGATGTCCCAATGCAATGTTTGCACTATAGACACACTGTAGCGGATGCCTCTACATCTATAAATTAGTGACGATGTTCCCTTGTTATATTTTTTCTTATTATTTTCCTTTGACCAATGAACACAACATCACTTAGTTTAGACCTTGGCTTGAGCTTTCCAAGGGCAAAGTAAATTACTATTGCAAAAGAAGTAATTAAAATGAAAGATTTTGTGGAAGTACTATAATGGTACAAGAGAACCAAGGCTTCAATATAAGCATCAAGCTTTTTTCTGTTGGCACGTAGAAATCAACCCAAAGGCATTTACTTTTGGTGTCGGTACGAGCTGAGCACCATCTAAAAAAAAAAACAAGTGACATGCCAACCAACATTGTGTGGCACTTCTTGCAAAAGCATATGTACATGACAAAAAGAAAGGACAATAAAACACCACACATTTTTTTTTTTCCCACAGAAATCAGTCAATAGAAAAGCGGGCAAACAACTCAGGTGACAGATGCTCCCTCAGAAAGAAACTAATGGTTTTTGGCAAACGTTGGTACTTTCTGAGTAAAGCATAGAAGCACAAAACAGACACTTAACAATAAATGCGAAACAGCACTTGGCAATAATATGTGAAACGAGGAGTTGCAAAACATTTACGTGCTGGAATTTTTCACCTTGTTGCCAAAACAAAAGGCAGCGAAACAGGGGAATACCCTAACGACTCGTCCTTACAAAAGTTACATCTTGTGCTTGCCATGTTTTGCTTTCTGGTCCTTGCCATTTGTAAAACATGTGACTCACAGTTGTCGATGACCTTTTAAACAGTAATTTGTAAACATATATGCGAAGCAGCTATTTGTAATGCAAGTTCTGTTAATTATTACCGCAATTCATGAGGCACCTTCACTTGTTATTGAGAGCACGCCAGAGAAATTTCTCGATGATGAGTGGACTCCCATGTCGAGCTTGCACCCAATATCCAATCGCAATAGAGGAACAAGATCTGAATCTTGACTGACTGCGTTCCAAAGTTTCTAGTGAGACTGACAATGGTGTAACGCACCTTATGTTGTTTGGAAATGCACTTGTCTGATATTATAAAGAATCTTGACTATTGCTGTACATTTCTCAAGAGAATTAAAGTATGTTACTCTCAAATTATTGATTAGATTTTAAAAAATAAGTGAATACGGTTGCAAATGTTCGTAACAAGTGTATAAACTGTAATAAAATGTTGCTGTAATATTAGGCAAGGTCGATAACCTTTGGTGAAAGGGTCAGCAGCTTCGGTGCATTCTTGATTTCTGTCCCTTCAATCCTTTGCTTTGAAGAATCAAAAACCTTGCGTGGCTTGGATTTCGTTTTGAGGCATATTTGTTCGTGTCGTGCCTGGAATACAAACAACAAAGATGCCATGAAACCGTTCCTCAAGACTCGCAGCGGCTATTGTAATCCGTTGCTACTGAATGAACGCTCGACAAAGGAGCGCCGATTTCATATGACTCATTCCAACAACAACTTACCAAAGCATCAGGACGAAAGGTTCTGCCGCATATTGAACATGGTGTTAGCGCTGACTGTGCTGAGGCTGCAGAGATAGGTGCAAGCACAATCGGTTAGGCAAAATGAGACAGAATTACACTTAATCCATCAAAACTGAACTACACCAAAATCTTGCATAAGAAGGAACACATAAGGTTGTCATAGAGCATGAGAGTGCATATATACAACTAAAAAGTTTATTGATGCACAAACTGAAAATGAAATAAAAAACACACACTTTTATTCCACGGAAAAACCATTCAAAAGAAAAGTGGGGAAAAAGCTTCAGGTGGGAGTTGTCATGTCTAAAAGTGTGTTTATAGAGACTTATGCTTTTACATATGCACAAGTTAAGATCTCGTTCAATCTCATGGACACTTTTCCTTACATCAGTATATGTCTACTTTAATGACTATACACAAGCCCAACATGTAGATTATGGTGAATGTTTTACAAGAAAGACAAACATTGGAATATTGGCAACGGAGCAGGTAATTATCTGAATGGGTGAATGGAGAACCACTCACCAACATCCTCCATGCTGCTGCTCGGCGTGTCGCTCACATGCTGCGCACTGAAACAGCTGAAAGGAGCAGTGGACACGTATTAATAACAGGAATTATGCGCAGTGCGGGATTAATTGATTAACTGGGCAGTCTCCATGCAAGACAGGCTGACGTAGCAAAATGGTGCCACGCAGATCGATCTTTAACGTATCGGGATGCAAATCGGCGCATTCCACCGGCAGTGCGGGGTATACAGGCGAAGATACGAGACCCGAGGATCAGTCGCAAGCGAACACTGTTTCACAGCAACGCACATTAGCCAGCAGAGGACGGGTCGGCGAGGCAGGCACTATACGGTTTGACACAACGCAGTCGCTTTCATGCCGCGCGGCGAGGCCAGTGCGAGCGACGACAGCCACAGAAAGCGCTCGAATTCAAGACGCCTGCCCATATAAGGGAAAGGATGGGCAATCCCACACAGTACCTCGGTTAGTCCACACCCAACGAAGCAAGTTGCCAAGCGGGGCACAGAACGGCGGCACACCGGTTTTCTCAGAACGCCTTGAAAGAGTGCAAGCGAAAATCCGTAGCGCACGCCGCAAAACAATTCCTTTCGAGCAAAATGCGTCCGCATCACCATGGCAACCGGAAGGCAGGCAACGGCAAACAACGTCGAAGGGTACGAGAGGGGGGGCCGCTTTACCTTGCGAGTCGCGCGAAATACACGTTGCACATCGCTGCCACGCCAGCGCGAAAGCGACAAGAACTGGACCTGTAGTGGACACTTACGCCCCGGTCCACCCCGGCAGGAATTAGCTGCTCCCGAAATTTAGGTTAGGAAAACTAGTCCCGAAGAAGAACGGTGCCGACGCACTCTGCGGGCGGCCGCCGCGCACGGAGACCGAACGTGTTTTGTTTTTGTTGTTGGTGCTTGCTTTTGACCACCATCGCTTTTCTTTCTAAGGAATTCTTCGGCCATGGAGCAGTGAAGTCCGCGCTAAGGCAACGCTCATCAAAATACGAATCGAATAGCCACGAGTTTCTAAACACGAGATCCAAATCACCGTTTTCTAGCATTTTGATTCATTGCGCTCACCAATAACAGTGATTTTACGTTTGGCTAAGATTCTAAGAGATGGCAGCAGAGTCGCGAAGTGTTTTTAGCTTTTGAGACATTCTAAGAGATGGCAGCACACATATTGCGCGCCCATTTTCTTTTGGTTCGTTCGTGAGCTCTCACCGTAAACAGAGAGCCTTTCCGTGCGTAAAAGCTTTTGTAATGCGGGGTGAATGTGTGTGTATGTGCATAGCCTCCTCTATGAGGCTCTGGTATGTGTGACTCGAATTTGACAGTGATCTCAGGCGCTCTGTACCGGAACTCAGCTGCTGTGCTTTTCCCGTGCTATTGACGCAACTAACTGACTACTGAGGTCGCGGACCGAAAAGCATCGAGGATTATTGCCTGTCAGCGAAGCTCGCGAGACTGAAGGCACCCTAAACACAGCAGGTATGTCGAAACTTTTTTGTTATTCTGCCTCTCGAGCGATCGCTCTTAACCAACATCCTTTCGGAGGACGTATGAGGAAATGGCCATCGGTCAAGAACAGCTGAGCGGTGAGACATTTTGGCGTAGTTTTCCTGCGAACAAAAGAACAGCTGGGCTGTTGCCGAGGGCCCCGCTTGCTCGTTCGCTATGGCTGTGATTTCTAGGTCATTTACATAGCACGTTTCGGACCCACGTCTTAGCTAACCGTCGCGCTTGCCTTCGCTGCGGGCCTCTGGTCACAGCGTTAGGCAGTGTTGTGCTCCTTCGAAGCTGCTAAACGTGCTTTAGACGTTGCCTGTGTGTGTGCGCGCGCGTTTCGCTGCTGCAAGCTTTGTGTCGGTGGTCGTCATCTCGGTCCTACGGTTGCCGAGGGCCCCCAAAACGGTGGTTTCGTTCAGTAGTCTGTTGCTAATCAGAGCCGGGCAAGCGTGCGAGTGATTGCGCAGACATATTTTAGTGCGACGGATGCCACGGCTAAACCGCGGCGAGACGCGTTTACTTTCGCGAGTTCCCGACCACCAGTACATCTGACATGTCATTGCCGCGGAACAGCTGAGCTGCAGCCGCTATTGATTACTGACTGTGGGTTTCGCTTTTATGGGGATGGCTTACGTGCTGGCTGTTGACGAGAATGCGTGCAACCGCGAGCCATTTGACGAGCGAAATTATTCGTCGATGATCTGAGTGCTGTGATTGGCGTGAGTGCCCGCTGCTGCAAAATTTAGTCGTACTTAGTTTCTTACAAATGGCTGTGAATTGCACCTCGGTGAATTAACTGATAAGAGACGGGTGCCTGCCTTGTTATGACGTGTGGGAGAAACAAAACAGAAAAGGGTTTGTTGATACCGCTGTCAGGGAAAACGGTTGATGGCACAGAAGTGAAGCGCGTCTTTGTTGAAGCAGTCGCAGGTGTGCACGAAGGGAGCGCATAGGTTTATTTAGGTGGTGAGCCGCGTATCTGTTAAGGTTGCGGAAGGCTATCCTTTCCTCTTAATCAAGAACCACTACACGTGGTTTAGCACGCGCGAGCCTCATGGCTTTACATGCGAACAACTCACGCCGCAACAATGAATATCCGCGTGGTAATCAGTCACGCGCAAGTTCACGTCAGACAATGGGCTGAGTCGTATGCAGGTGTACACAATTGCCACAATTTCATTAAAGGAGGGAGCGGCTGACGTAATTTAGGACATAAGTCGTGTATATAGTTAACGTTGGAACCGTAGACTTGGGGGGGGGGGGGGGTGTTGCGAAAAGCGTGCACTATCATCAACAGCAGTAGCAGCATGACTACGACCTCTGCGAGGCAACGGCCACTTCAGTCTTCAATGTTCCATCAATCAACCTGGTCTTGTGCTGCTGCCACCTTATAGCGGCAAACTTTTTAAATCGGGTTCTGCTACGAACCTTAGCCTCCTCACTCCTCCCGAAGAACAACACTGTGCGCGCTTATAGGATCGCATGCGTCGCGACGATCTTTTTTTTTATGGGAAGAATTTTTTATTTCTTTTTCTTCATTTACAACTTTTCTTCCGTCTCTCTTTCTTAAATCCTGTCTCCATATGTTCGTTCTTTCACCAATCAGCGTTATTACAGGCCATGCCTAGCGGCGAATGGTGGGATTCAAATAATAATTATAATAATATGGGGGTTTAACGTCCCAAAGGTAGTGAGATTTGCCTATGTTCTGTGACACGAACCCGTCCGTGATGATGATAGTCAATGGCAGGGTCGACGCTATAATAGTTGGCCGGCCCAAATTGCTTCGCCGATGAACTATTACACTGTGGGTGGCAGAGTCATATGTCGGGGTGCGGCCTCATCTACTGCACGAAGCCTTACTAGCCTCCTTAGTGTTACGGCTGACGTGTGAGAACGATGCACAACTACTCTTTTTTTTTTCTGGGGCGGGGGAAGACACTCAGCCCCACCCCCATTTCAAGATAAAGGTGGAATAGAATTTTGTGCTCAGAAAGAAATAATTGTTAACTATTTAGTATTGTGTACTCAACTATGGGAATTCTGTGTTTGGAAAAATATGGCTGACGATTTATGAACGATCTGTGTATTCTACTTGGGGAGAGTGCTCAACTAACCCTATATTATCAGAAATCGCCGAAGAATGCGAAAATCAGTTAACGCTGTTTTAAAAAAAAAATTACAGCATATCCACGGACTGAATGATGATGAGTTAGGCGAAGCGTCTGCCCGCTCGTACGTCCGTCCAACTGTGGGTCGATCTGTCTATATATATGTCCGTCCGTCTAGTGATCATTCCAAGTACCACCATCTCGCATCTTTTCATCATATATTCATCATATACAAGTACCGTCACCAAGCAAGAACTAGAAGAGATATTGATATGTGGGGTTTAACGTCCCAAAACCACCATATGATTATGAGAGACGTCGTATAGGAGGGCTCCGGAAATTTCGACTACCTGGGGTTCTTTAACGTGCACCCAAATCTGAGCACACGGGCCTACAGCATTTCCGCCTCCATCGGAAATGCAACCGCTGCATCCGCGATTTGATCCCGCGACCTGCGGGTCAGCAGCCGAGTACCTTAGCCACTAGACCACCGCGGCGGGGCAAGAACTCAAAGAGAGGTGGCTACTTACTATATCGAGGACGCACGACCCACGGCTTAAGGAGCATCGCCCCTAAAAGGCTATCCCTTGCAAACGATAACGCTACAAACGATAAACGATAACGAGATACGTTATAACGATAACGAGATGGTTACAAACGATAACGAGACACGAACGGGTGACGCCATAAGGAGCTTCGCCCATAAAAAAATATTTTCACAGACATCAATAACATTTCAACAGAGCATTTTCTTGTTAGACAGACGTTGACGATGCTGACAAATGTGCATAGAAGAATGATAGACGATTTAGAGTATTACGTACTCAGGGATAAGCCGTCCCATTACCAGTCCATCGCGAACGTATTCGTTCCGACAACGCGTAACCGCACCGTGTGGGTTTAGAACGTGTTCAACGATTTTGAGTACTTTGTAAACAAGTATGGGAGAGCAGCGAGCCGTCCCGATCACAGGTAAACCTCTACAAAGACGAGCGTATTCACACAACTGATGGGTTGATAAACAGTTGTTCAGTGATCTAGAGTACGAGGTATTCTACTATGGTAGAGCATAAAGCCTCCCCGTACGTGGGTCTCACACTTGATGAGGCCGTGGCGACAAAAACTCACAAGAAATGTGCTTAGAAAAAAAAAAAAAACGTGGTTAGCGATTTAGAGTACTCGGTACTCTAACTATGGGAAAGCTGAAAGCCGTCCCTTGGGCACTTCGTGTGTGTAAGAACGGAAACAGTACCTTTGTACTGATGTGTTTAGAAAAAGTGGCTAACGATTTTGAGTACTAGGTACTCTACTATGGGAAAGCTGAAAGCCGTCCCTTGGACACTTCATGTGTGTAAGAACGGAAACAGTACCTATGTACTGATGTGTTTAGAAAAAGTGGTTAACGATTTTGAGTACTATAGGTACTCTACTATGGGAGAGCATAAAGACGTCCCGTGCACAGCCAGAGGAAATCGCTCAAGTGTAACGCCTACTGCTGGACCTCAAATGTACTGATGTCGAATGTGTTTAGAAAAAGTGGGTAACGATTTAGAGTACTAGTTACTCTACTATGGGAGAGCTTAAAGCCTTCCCCTGCCTTGTTCGAGTCAGGCACAGTATGCTGTCACTGAAACCTAATCTTTGTGAGCGAGTCACTGAATCACTGTACACACATGAAAGCTAGGGTGATGACATCCATCCAATTAAGTTCTCGTACCTTCGTGTCGCTGGTTTTGATTAGGAAAACATTTTACATCACAGCAAACTTTTTTTTAGACATTCTGAGGTCACTTCTCAACCAGACGAAATATCTTGGACGGAAACGAGGAACCTTTATTTATCTATAAGCCTATATCGTTTACATTGGCCGGGAGGAAGTACCTACGTCTTTCGAAGGTTGCAGGTTGAGTCTCTTGCCGGCGCCAAGCTGCCTTCGTTCACTTGACTTCCTTCACATATATATATCCCAATTTATACCGTTAGTTTAAAACATTACAATTAACGTCCTCTGTTAATCCCTTGATTTCATTATCTGCTGATGTTTTATTAAGAATGTACAAAAAAAAACCCCTCAAAATTCCTTTCTGCGCTTGGAAGCTTGACGGGCAAACATATCACGGTTCTGTCAATGGAGCGTAATAGTGCAGTAAGCGGGTGGGAAAGGGGTGGGTGTGAGGAGGAGAGGTGTGATGGTGATTACGATAGAAAGGAGGAGGGGAGAGGGTAAGACATAGCACAGTCAGACTGAGGAAGAGAGAGAGGGAAGAAACACGCCGCGCTGGTCTAATGGTTACGGTACGCGACTACTGACCCGAAGGTCGCGGGCTCGAATCCCGGCCGTGGGGGCTGTATTTTCGATGGAGACGAAAATGTTCGAGTCCTATATATAGGTAGATTTATGTGCACGTTGGAGAACCCCAGGTAGTCAAACTTGCCGGAGCCCTCCGCTACGGCGTGTCTCATAGTCCGTGTGCTTATATGTTTTGCTTTATTAAGCGACGCTAGGCGTAAGGGGCACGGCTACACCTGACGCAAACTCTATTTCTTTGAAATTAAGGTTTCATTGGCAGTCCATATTGTAGAAATGAACGTGTGGCCTAAGTGTTCTGTGTACTAGCAATCGGCCAGTTGGGGCATTAGACTTTTGATTCGCGACTGTATTAGTTGTGTAAGCAAATATGATATTGTTTTTTTTTTTGTTTTGGTGCTATTGTTCGACGAATAAGCTTGTTTTCAATAAAGTACATTTCAAAAGCGTTGAGTTACCGTTAACAGCGGCCATGATATGGCCGTCCTGTTTGCGGTCTTTTTTCCTGTAGCTGAAAGTAGACAAGCTCTCTTTCCCTCAAGGTTTAACTGCGCGAAAAAGTACATGGCGGACAAGAAAAGGACGGGACAAGCGCCGACTTCCAACCAAAATTTCATTGACAATAATGCTGTCAATATACCTGACTGGAAATTTCCGATGGAGGCGGAAATGTTGTAGGCCCGTGTGCTCAGATTTGGGCGCACGTTAAAGAACCCCAGGTGGTCGAAATTTCCGGAGCCCTCCACTACGGCGTCTCTCATAATCATATGGTGGTTTTGGGACGTTAAACCCCAAAAATCAATCAATCATCAATACCTGACTGGAAATTCCCGTCCTTTTCCTGTCCGTCGTGTATTTTAGCGCGCTGCTAAACCTCAAGTATGCTAAACCAACTAGCCCAATCAGCCACTTTCTCTCTCTCCCTCTCTCACAAGTGCCGATTGCCCCAAAACTCGGGAAAAACAAAATCATGCCAGAAACTTGGCGGTACACGACTCGTGACGTCACCCGTAAGTGTTACCAAACTGCCGAGTGACCCAACTAGAGGAAGAAAGAAGGGTTGGGCGGGGAAGGGAACGTAAAGTTGGTGTCGCACCAATATTTTGAAATATTGCTGTGAATAGCTGACGTTGTGAGAATCTTGGCGATTTCGATGTCATATCTTCGTTGAAGCTCATGATTGCATCCGCCATTTATTACTGAGTACTGACCTTGCTATTTGCATAACTTGCACGTTTAGCACAAGAGACACTCAGACCGGAGTATTTGCACCACGTTGCCACTGGCGAAGTGCACCAAAGGGGAGAGTGATGATGGCTCCCGAGAACGTCCGTGGTCATTTCTTGGGGGGCGGGGGGGGGGGAGGCAGCGTTCGCAGTGCAAAAGTCCTACGGACTTTCCTGTTACTCCAGTGCTGCGCCGCTTTGTCGTCGTGCCCCGGGTGCAGCGCAAATAGCAGACGGCGCCAATCCCGGAAAAACACACGCATCGAAGCTTCTCGCTCGATAAATTTCTCTCCGCGCCCAACCTGCGTCTCAAGAACACGACAGTGGACCAACCGGATCTCGAAACGGGTTGGGCTGCCGCTTAGCCGGAGCCAACAAAAAAAAAGTATAACTGAGTGGTGGAAAAGAAGCAATAAATTCCAACGCAAACCAATCATCGACTTCCGCACTGTCAGAATTCTTACCCGTCGTGCGCCGCGTTGCTCTGTCAACAGGGTCTCTCGCTATAGACACCACTACTGCAGCGGCAGCCAAGCGGGAATCCGCGAGGTGGTTCTTTCTTTCTTTCTTTCTTTCTTTCTTTCTTTCTTTCTTTCTTTCTTTCTTTCTTTCTTTCTTTCTTTCTTTCTTTCTTACTCACTCACTTTCTTTTTCTTTCTTTCTTTCTTTCTTTCAATTTTGACGCGCTTTTTTAATGGCTGTTCTCTTCAGACACGCCATGACGGCTCCTTGGACCGAGGCCAAGAGTCACTCGGCCGTGGGCTGCTTCTGGTGTTGGTAACCACGTGCAGCTTCAGCCCTTCGCGAGCTGTCGGTGGATGAAAGAGTTGATCGACGTGGTTGGCCGTGGGTGTGATAGCTATACCTGCCATTGATACGCGAACTTGGGACGTTCCGGCTAAAAAAACCCTGTTGGAGGCAGCAACGCCCAGGTCCTTCGCTTTCATGGCGCAGCCTGACTCAGGCTCTGCACGTTAATACTGGAAAGTCTCGGCCGTCTTCAGTTTACCGATGTTTTATATTGTTCGTCATATGAGTAGCGGCTCGGTTTTCACTCCCCTCCACGGCGACCACTTGTCGATTTGGCTGAAATTTTTGGTACTTGAATGCACGTCTACGCCACCTGGCGTAGACGTGCAATGGTGGACATCGGAAATGGACTCTTTTTGAGGCGTGTTCTCCACTTCGGTGTGCCTCACAATAAAATAGAGCCGCAGCGCAAATAAAGAGACAAGGACCGAGACTTTTGCACATATTGGAGGTGCTGTGTTCTAAATGCTGTTTATTCTTGTCTTTTGAACTTAGTTCCCGTATTATAAAGATGAACCACCGTCTGACCTTATACGGTGGTCTCGGCCTGTAAATCAACAGATTTTACTTTTTATCTTATTTCGTGTATGTAGTACGGTGTCTGGTCGCTCCTATGTGAGCCACATGCAATCTTGAAACTCACTGCACGATTTATGTATCGGTTTGGATTAGTGCATACAGCCTTTTTTTCGTACTTTATTTTCTCCTAGCACACCTGGTTCCCCGCATCATGGTATAGTAATAATCTCCAAGCAGCCTCATTTTTCACTAGGCCTCTTTGGCGTCTTTTTTTAGGTTGATGCGCGGTCACTGAACCGTATACGCAAAGATCTTGGCCTCATGTGAAAGTGACTGCTGCTTACTCCTTTTCTACTTCTCTTTCCTTCAGCGAGACCGAGCGCACAGTTTCCATACATTCCGCTCCCAAATAAAACCCCCAAACGTGCGCGGAGTGAGCAGGAAACCTATTCAAGTAGACCGTGCAGATAGAACGCAGGGACCCAGTTGGCATTCTCCTCAGCACCATCAACAAAGCCCTTGTACATGGCCAGTCGTTGGATTCTGCGCGTTCCACCGCCGTTAAATGTCGTCGCGCTGCGTTCGATGTGGATGACGCGGGAACGATTGTCTCACTGAATTATATATAATCAATTCTTGGCTGATCCCCCCGAGTGGGTATGAGCCATGTTTGAGGATTCATCATCATCATTTCTGCTACAGCGGCCGCATTTCGATGGTGGGCGAAACGCAAGAACACCCGTCTACTTAGATTTAGAAGCACGTTAATTAAATAAATAGAGGCGGTTTAATTTCGATCCGGAGTCCTCCGCTGCCGCGTACCTCAGTCATGTTGTAGTTTTGGCTCGTAAAACCGCGCAAATCATTATGATTACGTGCTTCACGCTGCTGTTTATTATACACATTAATCTCCTTTACATGTTCATCGCCATGTGCGGTGCGGTCTTCGCCTTCTTTGTCATCGTTTCTGCTGACTCTTCTTGACTGTGGTCTGTGCCTTGGATGTCACCCCCCCCCTTCCTCATTTCGGCCTGTGCCCCTTTGCTCCCCCCTCACCTCCCCCCTAAATGCAGGAACTTGCTCGTCGTAGGTGCCCCCGCCCCATGTCCTGTAAAGATATCCCTACATTCGAGGTAAAGAAGCATGCTAATCAAGTTATAGCGCTAACCAGGGGGAATGAGTCAGGGACCAAGAAAATTGATAGGACGTGCGCTTCGCGCAGTCTTGGAAGTGTGGCGTTCCACAAGAATTCGATGGTTCTATCCGCAAGCAGAAAGAATTCCCAGGCAGCGTTATCGGCCTCCTCCTTTCCACGGGCGGATAAATGAATGCGGTGGTGCTTTAGATCCGTGACAGGCGCTGCCATTCCGATTTCAGAATTTCGGATTACCTGAAACTGCGTATGCTTGTATATACTTAAAAGCCCCGCCGTGGTGGTCTAGTGGCTAAGGTACTCGGCTGCTGACCCGCAGGTCGCGGGTTCGAATCCCGGCTGCGGCGGCTGCATTTCCGATGGAGGCGGAAATGTTGTAGGCCCGTGTACTCAGATTTGGGTGCACGTTAAAGAACCCCAGGTGATCAAAATATCCGGAGCCCTCCACTACGGCGTCTCTCATAATCATATGGTGGTTTTGGGACGTTAAACCCCACAAATCAATGTATATACTTAAAAACCATAGCTTCACCTCTACGGGTGAGCGCACTTCCGGTCTTCTTTCTTGGTCTCCGTGTTTTCAGTGCTATTGCTTAATTGAACGTACCAGGCTATCGAGGCCGAAAGTCCGTTCTATATGCCTTTAGATTGGAAGTTGATTTCAGGCAAAAACAAAATACAAATTGCCTGGGAGGCCGCATAAAAGGCAGAAAAACTTGACAAGGCGCCTATTCCTTGTAAACCCCGAAGTCCTATTTGTTCTACAAAGTTTAACCAACCGTTGTCAACCTATTACTTTCCCTTTTTGTTCATGCGTATCTTTCATTAACTTTTAACGCGATAGCGTTAGAGAGCTTGTGTCGCAGAAAACCCACCGCCGGCGTCGGCCCCGTTGGTTGTGAGCGAAAAATCGTCTGTGTCTCTGTGACCGAAAAATCAAGTTACCGAGATAGCCGCGGGAGGCCGCTACTTGTCCACGCGCGCGCGCGATCATATTCAAAAAAAAAAAAAAAAAAACGCGCGTTCGAAGAAAAGAAAAAGTGCTCAAGGTCACGAGGCGTGGTAATTTCTTCGCCCTGCCACCCCCCCCCCCCCCTCCCGCTTAGCTTCCAGCGCTTTCGTCGGGACGAGAGAAGAGAGAATGCAATTCCAGCATGCGGCAAACCTTTGTAATTCCACTCGCACTGGGCGGATTCTTAAAATTTTTGCGGTGTTGAATTCGTGAGACAATAGACTCTTCTAGTGAATTAATTCCATGGTTACTTGAAACTGTGTTTCAGTCAGGGCCCATTTAATGCATTTTGTTCGACAGGTGTCACGACGAAAACGAGCCCATTCGGCGATAATAGCGCGCGCTGGTGCAATCTACTGTGTGCGTGTTTGAGTGCGTCCGTGTGTATGTAACAAAACATAATAAATAAGTATGCACTTAGCGGTTGAAGGGTGCACTAGGGGCCGGATTTCGCTATCGCGTTCAACTCTTAAATGCGAAGCTTAAGGATCCCCCATATTTTTTTTTCAGTAACACCTAAACAGTCCCGAAGGTGAATACGTGAAACGGAAATGTATTCGTCGAGCGTTCATGCAAGGTGTATAAGCTCGCTGGCTCATCAAAAGCTTTTTCGGCGCCCTCACCTGACTTCGTCGTCCACGCTGGCGCACCGCCTTGTCTCGACGTCGTCGTGGCTTCCGTCGCGCGGACCGTGCGGTCTCCCAGCCCTTTGGGAGCAACTCGGACGTCGCGACGGGTCGAGGAAGACCTCGCTGGTGTGCCCGTCCGTGTACTTGCCGTCCGGACACCGTCGTTGCAAGGCGTCGAACCGTCGAGCGTGGTGCGCGGAGAGCATTGCCTGAACGCGTGCGCACCTTTCGTGCTGAAGAGTCAGGCCCTCCGGTTTCTCCCGCTGAGAGTATACGTACACCGCCATGGAGCATGCTGCGGTATACACCGCCCCATGTGTCGCCAAGTGAAGGCGTTCGTTCTTCGCTCGAGCGAGTTTTTGCGCGCTGTATGGTTCCGTCTTCGGTCGGGCGTGGAGACAACTCCCTCGACACGCCGAGCCACCGGCACGCCGTGCATGTAATGCATACGAAATCAGCGTGCTGGGGATTCTATTTTTAAATTGAACACCCGCGCAACGCTACAGCGGGGAGCCCATGTGTAAACAGTTGGCTGTATATGGGGAGCGTATATATGCGTTCACTGCATATACTTTCGGGTATGCAGTTTATGCAGATGCATTCGCGAGTGTCACAATAAGCGGAGTGAACCGTTTCGGTGACAGTACCATACTGTTCTTTTTACGTATTGTATACACGTCTCTGCGTGTATTTTTCATTATATGCGGAGTAAATGCCTTCGTTAAAACTTGACAATATAGCGTGTTGTTTTCTGCGTACATATATGGTATACGCTTCTTCGTATACGGGTACACAATACTAAACTATCATACGCGTTTGCGGTTGGGACAGTAAGCATGCGCTTAATATACGCTATCCGCGGTAATACGCATACAACGCGGTAACAACGGAATGTTGTTACACTCGAAGTACGTTCTCTTGTTTACAGTAACCGTAGATGCAGCAAGGATAGTGGGAAGTGCGCGGAATTAGTGTGTGCGTTCAGTGTGCGGGCTTTCACCGACATTGTACGCGGGTGTGGTCGCTATCATAGAGTTTCTCAAAATTAACTAGAGGGCACTCTGGCGCTGCGATCGTTCAGCGACCATGGGAATGATAAGTAGTACACGCATTTGCCTATAGTCTTCGTACTTGCGGGTGGTGAATCGTACTTGCGGCTTCGTTTATTGCTGTGTTTCGATTTTGTTTTGAAAGAAAGATTCAACCCTATTGAACTTCGTGGCCCGATTTGGAAAGGTAATTTAAAAGAAAAAATAGGGTGGTGAAGCGCAATTGCTGAACATTTGCTGATTTTTGTTTTGTGAGAAAACAGCTTCAAGCCACACGAACACACGCACACGATGCCAAAAGCAGGCCATAAGTACGAAGTTTAGACAAATGTGTGTACTACCCATCATTCCCATGCTCACTGAAGCGCCGTGCGTTGCAGTTCTCATAGACACTAGCGCCAGAGTTCCCTCTAGTGTATATTAAGAAACTCTATGGTCGCTATAGTTGAAAGTACGTGCGCTCAGTACGCGTTTTAAGTGAGAGTATGTGCGGATGTGGTGCGCAAATGTGACAGTAAAGCGCGTTTGCGTATACGCTTTTAGCGACAGTATACTTGAGCGGATGCGGTCACGCTCCCTGTTCTGCATAACGTCTTAATGTATGGACGTGTGTGTGGCTTGTATGAAATCGTATCTCGGTGGTGCGACGGTGTGCCTTCTGCGGGAACGGGGTGGAAGGAATTCCTTCCCAAGCGTACACCATTCCTTCTCGGTGAAGTTCTTTCGTCGTGAAGCGCGCGCTACAGGTTGTCTCCCTTTTCTTCGTTTTGTTTTTCGTTTTTGGTATATTTTGCGCATCGCGACTTCTCGGTAAGCGACACGTCTGTACGTTACGGTTCGGAAAGGAGCCTTCCTTCGGAATTCTCGTGGGAAACGTGGTCCGCGTCGTATGGGTTTGATGGCGTATACGGCCATTGTTGATTAGTTTCTCATGTTTTTCGATCGTTGCATTTAACGGTGGTATTCAATCTTCACTAAACGAAGAATGATCAGACAGAGACATGTTTGCAAGCATTTGGATCCGTAGCGAAAGGCTGGTAGGTTTTCAGGCAACAATTACTCGCATAAATATACAGGCAGAGGACAAAGAGGAAAAGAAACAAACGAACTGAAAAGGGAAGGAGGTTACTCTGTTGGTTACCCTACTCTTGGGGTGGGGGAAAGGGGGAGAAATAGAAAGGAAATAACATAGAAGAAAGAAGAACAACAAGACGTGGACTAGCAGTTAGCTATAGAAGCTACACAACACGAACTCGCGCTGTTCACAGGCGGTCGTCTTCAAGAAGCACAATGTGGCTTTCGTGACCTTGCGCATGATCGAAACCGTAGGCGAAGGACCCAAGATCTTCTTTTCTGTCACTGGTCTTGATATCCAGACGACGAAACTTGACTTTCAGGCAAGAAGCAAAGGTTTGCATTAATTTAACGGCATGTTAGGTTATCACTTTGAACGTAATGAGAATATCCAACTTTTATACGAAAGTTTAATAATATATCGTGTTGGATACAAAACAGAATGAAAACGTGTAGTACTTTTATATACATAAGCTTAGAATATAACACTTGTTAAGCTTTTAATGTTGTTTCTCGTAAAGACGGTCTATAGGAGACTGCTGGATTGATTGCTTATCGTATATGGGCCTATAAGAGATGACTCCGTTAGAATTAAATGGAACTGCATAATTACGTCAGAGGATACAGTATGTGCCTGGAGGGAGGAGGGGGGCCGTTATGTATCGTCCTTCACGTGCAGCAGAAATTTGCCGCATAGCCCGTGAACGAAAAGACGTCGTATACAGTGAAATACGTTTTACGGACCACTGAACGATCCTCGTGGAGTCAAGGTACATACGCATGAAGGTTTTGTGCTGGAGTCTTTCGTAAGAATGCAGGTGCCAGATAACGGCGCAAGACTGTAGTGAGAGGAGGTAGGCTCACTCAACTCCTCCCCCCCCCCCCCGACCCCGCAATTTAAAATTTTTGCGTCTGTTTTTTTTACACGTGTACGCACAAACTGACGCATATATGATGGTAACACCCCCTTGTTTCGTCTCAAAAATTGAAAATTGCTAGAGGTGCGTTTTCTTGCATTATGCCTTAATTTATATAGAAAAATGACTAGTGGACAGCCGCACTCCGTTTCTCGTGCGTCGCGGTTAGCTCGCCAGGCTGTTGACGGTGGCGTTTGAAAGATTGAAGACTCCTTGCACCCCAAAGTAAAGACGCCTGATTAGATTAACGAGCTTAATGCGATCACGCCGGCGGCGACTCGTCTTCATGTTAGCCGCGTGTACGTTGGCACGGTGCCTCTGAATCAGCGTTTGGCTGTCGCTGTTCAGTTGGTACAGCGAGTCGGTAAACACTAATTCTGTACACAATCGGTGACACGCTAAAGATTACGGTGTTTGATGTTGTTTGCGTAAAAACAATGCATACGTGTACATGCTTGGAAGTCTCTTTTTTTATATTTGGCAAACAATATGGGAATGTAGCCTACGATTGAGCCGGCTATATCCCAACATCGCGGTAGTGATGTAGAAGATACGTGCAAAAATACGAGAAATTTAAAACAATAAAAAGAAGAAAATAGAATCAGACGCACTATGTACATGTACGTATATACTATAGGGCTTATAACAGTCTATACACAATCTATATGGGCAAAGTCAAAATCAGAAAGGTTTTTACTTTCCAACAAAATTGTTGTCTTGAGTGTGCCTGAAGGCCCTGACGTGACAGCAGTAACATCAAAATTAGCATTCATACATGTTTTAAGTATATTTCCAGAAAGAAAATCACAATTTTAATGGAATCGAAAAAAAAGGAACATATTGAATAACACAAACATGATATTTTTAAAGATACAAATCTGATGCATTTAGAAATTAATGCATTGCTAATGCATTGCTATATACACAAGAACAGTGGAAGTTACAACATAAAGAAAAGGACGTGTACAAACATGGCTGCGATGCATAATGGTGTAATACAATGTTTATCGAAACACTGAGGGAGAAACACATTAAAAAGCAAAAAAAAATTGTAAAAGTGTAAAAACTTTTTTACGCATTCATTCATAATTGCAAAAGTATTCTCGAATTTGTTTGCGCGTCAAAATATTTGGAATAAGTCGATCTTTTTCAATTTATTTAATATCGAAGGTAGGCTATGTTTCGAGAGATTGCATAAGGTAATTTGTGCGCCTAAATGTATACGGACCACATGTCGTGGCTATGAGTGCGCGAGTCACTATTTTTGTATTCAAGCCGTGACGTATATTTTAAAAAGGATTTGATATTGTTGAAGCCGAAACAAAATGAATATAGAAGTTGGTATTCGTAGAGACAATGATGCTAATTTACGTTGCGTTCGGTTGCACAGTGCGAATAGCGTAACGAGTGGGCCGCCCAATGCTACCTACCCATCACAAAAGCTTGTTCTTGTTCCCGTATTAACTGTGGCGCATACCCACTTCAGCCATAATTCCTCATCGTCGTCAGCCACTGCATGAACAACTGGCACAAAATTCCTTGCAAGTGTTTACCGGATACCACGATTCTCAGAAGAATGGTGAAAAATAGCATAGCGAATGCCTGCCTACTACCCAAAATAAATTTATTAATAATTACCTAGTGGGTATCAAGCAAGTGTACTTGCAGTATAGTTACCCAATGAGTGTTTGAAAAAGGCTCTGAAAGGCCGCTCTTCTAGCTTTCGCTGTGACTGTGCTGCGCCTTCCGCGCAGGCCTGGCGTTTTTTTCTAAACACACTGATACTATCGTCTTTATAAGCGAAAAAAAAAAAACTGATGCATTGACGTCCGATCTTTTTTTTTTTTAATTATGAACCAATATCCGTGAAGATAACGAAAATGGAGCCTTCGGGGAACATTTAAATGAATCTAGAGAGGAAATGTTTTAGTGTTACCTTGTAGCGTCTACGTTAATGTAATTTTATACGCACGGAACGTTTCACAAATGAGTTTCGATGGGCCCCGCCACGGTGGTCTAGTGGCTAAGGCTGCTGACCCGCAGGTCGCGGGATCAAATCCCGGCTGTGGCGGCTGCATTTCCGATGGAGGCGGAAATGTAGGCCCGTGCACTCAGATTTGGGTGCACGTTAAAGAACCCCAGGCGGTCAAAATTTCCGGAGCCTTTCACTACCGCGTCTCTCATAATCAAATGATGCGTTTTGGGACGTTAAACCCCACAAATCAATCGAACGAGTTTCGATGGGAT